GGATCTTCTTGGACTTCATGAGGAAGAAAAGACTTCAGTAAACAGCTAGAGGTTGGTGGGGTGTGGATCAGAGGAAACCCTTTTCCCTGAACACTCCAATGAGAGAAAGATTGTTTACCTATCAGCCTGAGGGCTTCTCCTGGACTGAATTAAGGGGGAGGGGCTTAGAGGGATGATAGAAGTGTGTAATATTGTATGTATATAGTTGCTTGTAGCTTATACAGTATTTATTTGTATAGAATAAATGTATATATTTTCCCTTCCCCTTATGGAGGTGTGCCTGCCTGAAAGTTTCTCTTCGGTGTTGAGGTAAAATTGTGGGGAAGGTGGGGGAAGCTTGGAGATTGGATTTTTGTGGGGGTCAAACCACCACAGACACCAATTATTAGATGAAAAAATCTGAAGAGTTTCCTCATGGAAGTAGTATTTTTCTGTTCAAGCAATAGAGATTTATAGGCTTGTTACTAAAAGTCAAGAGGTGATTAGAGGGGTTCCTCAGTGATAACATCAGGACTATGCTTTTGTGGCTACAGGTAGTGCAGTATGACACAAGCTAAGAAGAGTTCATGTGTCTTCTGGTGGCCAAGTGACAGGACATTGCACTTCCAGCATACCAAAATGGTGTGCTTGTCTCAGTGGTGACTTTGTATGCTGTCTCTCCACCTATCCCAAGTTAGTCTTGCTTTGCCTTGGTTCCTGTGGTTTGTGCGGAGGGGCTCTATCATACCAGCTTGGGCAATGAGGGTTATTTTTGGGAGGTCCATATGGAGTCTTTTTCCCAGACAGCCTCTTGAAAGATTTCAACATTTACTTCTATTCTTGGAACTCTCCTATTACTTTGTTTTTATGATCTATGCCTTTGTCTCCAAACAAGCAGTTATTAATAGGACATAAAATGGTTTACTCTTTTTACTTAAAGCTTTATTTTTTCCCCTGGCTTAAATTCATTATCTTTATCAGAGTTTACTTTTGAGTCTGGCTTGTTTGTTTCTACTATTTTCCCAGTCTTTTGAAATGTTAATTTTCTATATGCATTTTCACTTGGAGATGAGAGAGATTTGGTGTTAGAGATATAATCCTTACCTAAATCACCCTTTTTTGGTCATGGGATTGGAAGCACAGTCTGCTGAATAAAGAGACTCTCACAATATGGGTTGTATTCAGGTTTTCATGTGAATTAGCTCCACATAGTCTAGAGTGAGTCATTTACTTTGTTTTGCTTTGGTTTCACCAAGTGTAAAATATGGTTATGGCTGAAAATCAGTATGCAAATGTTAAATATTACTATTGGCCAAACAGCATATCAATCTTAAATCTACAATTTCCTATGAAAGAGGAGGAAGACATGGTCTGTCTGTACTTTGGGTTCATTCCCTTTTTTAAATTCAATTCAGACTATCAACGTCAATTTGATTTTGCTTTCACAGTTTGTGCTTAAGGCCATCCCCTGGCAAACATCTTACTTTTCAGATACCTTAAACCTACTGCAAACAAACAAATAATGCAAATGAAATAGTAATAAAGTTACTGTTAGCTTTGTATAACAAATATTATCTACTATTTAAATGACAATTATTTTCAGAAACTTGGCAATTGTAGTCATGCAAACAATGAAATTGCTTCCAGTCACAGCCCATCATTCTATGGAAAGGAAGTACCAGTAAGTCCTTTAAAAATGGATTATTAAGAACCTTGGTTTACTTAAGGTGGCTCATGTGTTGTATTTGCTAACACAGCATCTTGCTGGAAGAAAATAAGTGCAGCTTTTCCCTGGCGAGATTATTTTTTCCACAAATCTCTGGAGCAGGAAATAAAAAACAGCTAATAGTTGAGGGGCATGTGGAATTCGTTTAAGCAAAGCTGAACCATGATCCTTCTGACTGCCTCCTCTTTCCTGTGCTGTTTTCTCTAATCCTGCCTTGGAGTGCATCAACAAATCTCTATTAATCTCAGAAAGTGCAGGAGGTGGAAATTGTGATCCTTTCTCTGTCTCTTTCTGTCTTTGGTGTTTTTGTGGGGAATGATTTAAGCTGATGTATTTTCAAACTGTCCTTGTTCTGGCAGTAGCCAGGAGTGCGCATGGCCAGGACCTGGAGTTTTTTTATACCACCTCATGTCATTGCTGGGCGTGGGCAGAAGGTACTCTTTTCCAGGGAGAAAGGATTTCTTCCAGTCGAGTAAGCATGGGGGCCAGTTCTGAGCTGGAGGGAGCAGTTCGGTGGTGCTGGTTCTAAGCTGGAGGGAGCAGCTGGGTAACACTGGTTCCAAGCCAGAAGAAGTGGTCAGGGTGGCATATCTGCGCTTGGGTCAGGCTCTGCAGTGAGCATTTTGCATGTGAATCACTCTCTTTTGTACACTTTTGTTACTAAAGTTGTTGTTACTGTTAGTTTTCTTATCTCACTGCTGTTTCTAATAAATTGTTCTTATATCAATCCACGATCTTTGCCTTTTCTGCCTCCAATTCTCATCTCCAGCCTGCCACAGCGGGGAGGGGGAAATGGAGTGAGTGGCAGCATGGTTTGGAGAGTCTCAGTGGAAGCACTAAATTAGGAAGTGCCATTCCTAAACAAAGGTACAAATTTGTCCTGTAAAATATTTGTAAATTAAAACAGCCTCGGGACTTCTGAATGTAACCCCAGCTGAGTTCTGGAGATGTCACAGAGTACTGGTTTTGTTACAGATACATAATTCTTTTCTCACACAAGTTAATTATAAATCAAAATAACTTGACAGAGAGAGCAGAATCTATTATACAAAACTGAAGAAGCAAAGTGTGTGTATAAAAGCAGAAAAATACCTGTGATTTCTGTACGGCCTATTTACTTCTGATATACAAGAAAACATTACTTTCATATTTCTCCAGTACTGGAAGTATGTGTTTTACATGAAAGAATAGAGCAGGTACCTATTTTCTGATGACAAATGAAGCATACTGGATAAATGCTTCACTTCCCCAGAAGCTGTATACCTGAGGACAATAATGCATTGTCAAGGCTTCAAGAATGCAGAAAACATTGGGGAAATAACTTACATAAATGACTCTGTTTTGCTGTGCAGCAGTGGATATAGTTGATATCACTGGGTGTGCTTATGGTCATCCTCAGAAAACAAAAACATTTCTTTGTGATACTATAATTATTGATCTTAAATGAGAGCATAAGCTCTTTCACATTGCCTGAGAAAGTGGTGGTTTTGCTTTGTCTGAAGTGCTTGGTTTATAAATTACACTTGATCACTGAAAGTAGTTTTGCCATCTCTGTCTGTCTGCTCTCTCATGATTGTTTATTTTTAGACAATCTGTGTTCTGTAACTAAATACTTTCAACATCTTCACAAGGTAATCTTGATAAGCAGAACCAGCGTTGTTGAAGTGATTTCAGATGATTAAATGTTAAATGATGTTTTCTTCCAATCTGGTTTAAGACAGCAAAAAATGTCAACAAAATAAGTGAACCGATATACACTCTGCTAGTTAAGCATCAGGAGAAGAAAAGAAAAATTAAATGCAACATATGCTAATTTCTTAGATGCTGAACTTTGGAGTCAATGACAGAGACTTTTGTATCATGGTTTGTGATGATTGGGTTTTAGTCAAAACAAAAGGTTGAACTTTTTAAAGGAAATATTTTTCTAATAGTGAAAAATTTTCTTTCAATTTCTTATTTTCAGCAGTCACATTCAAACTATATGGTGTAATATGACATCAACCAATGAGTAATGTTGAACATAACCATTTGGCTTATCTGCAGTCTGGAAAAAAATGAAGGGAAACTAATTTTTTTTTGTGGTGATGCTTCATTTTAATCTCATGTAACACAGCATTGTTTTGAAAGTGCTATTGGGTCTGAGTGGAGTTGATGCTGCAACCTGTCTGGGTTCAGAGATAGAAGGATAATGGGGGAAAAATGAAGAGATTGTCAGAACAGGAGAAAGCCTTTTTGAGGAATGGCCCATGGAGTGTATTGATGTACCTGGGCAGCACCTTGTTGTGTTCTTCTGGGAGGCAAAGTCTGCTTGGGGTGGCAGAAAGAAGGACAACATGCACTGATGGCAAATCTATCAAAGACCCTAGAATATGTCTTACTGAGGGTGGTTCCTGGTTTTGAGGTGGAAATGGTCACTCTGTTTATGAAAGAGCTCCCACATTTTTAGGGGCACAAATAATCTTGACAAATTTAGTAAGAATGAAAGTACTTTTAGACTTTTACATTACCATAAATTGATGACTTGGTGAATAAAAGTCCTAATAGTGAAACCTGAACAAGTAAGGAGGTAATTAAATTAATTCCCACAATGATACCTCCCCTGCATCTCACATTTTGTCAATGGCTGGCATTTTATATGCTTTTGGGTTTCACTAATCTGTATTGTAAAGGCAAGTGGAGTTACATTTGCCATATATTTCATGTATTGCAGCACTTGAATATTAGTCAGGAAAAGTGAGAGAGAGACAAGGAACATGTGCTCACCAGCCAAGGTAGAATAGATGATGATGGGTGGCACAGGTACGTGTGGCACCTTAAACACAGATTGGAGTCAGAGGGAATTGTCCCTGTAGCTGAGGTCTTTCTGGTTTCTCACTCAGTGCCTCCCACCAGGAATGTTTATTTTCCTGGTGCCTACTTCAGTGCAAGAAATAGCATTTCAACAAACTGCCATTGTTCTCCCTTATGACTTGTCACTTGAAAGAGCACACAACATACAAGGTTGGCACCTTCAGCATATTTAAAACCTAGAGACCTGGCTTATTGCAATATATATTTAGAAACTAATGCAGTGACAAACAAAATTGTGTGGAGCTCAGCATATATACTAAACCATATGTGTTGCCAGTAAGCACTGCTTAAAGGACAAGAAAACATTTTCCAATTGCCATGTTTTAACAATTCCTTTTACATGAATCTGTAACATGGGCACTTTTGAAACTTAACTGGTGGATACACAATCCTTTTTATACTGTCAGAAATTCTTTTACTCAACTATTCATATTCTTTTCTTTAGGAAGGTGAAAAAAAAGGATTTATGAATAGACTTTATGCCATCCAGGAGGTGTGTGTCACTGTTCAGAATATCCTTGATGAAATTGCTTCATTTGGTGAAAGGATCAAGAAGTAAGTGCTGACACAGGTGCTGGATTGCTCTCTAATATTGTTCATACTTTTTCCATGCAGAGATACAAAATGTTAGACCTTTATTTATTTATTTCAGGGGACTCCAGTTTTGGATGATCCATCTTCAAACCTTCTATATTTACTTTGCTCGTGGAGGCCATCAGTCAATGAAAATCCTGTCATATTAATTCTGAAATTTAGAATTATATTAATTGGGAAAAAAATCAGAACTAAGGTTTTTAAGTAAACCAGAAAGAGAATCTTGTTGAGAGGTCTAACAGTAGTTATTTTAAAATAATGATAAAAAATGCACTTTTGATAAAGGAAATAAACAAAGCTGAATAGTATTTTAACGACGTGCATACGTTCACTTGCTGGAAGTTGTGTTTATGTACCTTAGCAAAACCTTTCCTTCTAAAGTATTTGTAATTTGTAATACTTAATACATGTTATATAAGAATTGCCAGCAAATCTAGGCATTAAGAAAGAGAGGATCTGATATTTACTGAAGGAAATTTGTTGTATTTCTGGCATGGTCAGTGAACAGCAGCACAGGGTTTAGTATTTGAGATGAGACTGGTTCCAGAAAGATGCCTTCCAGCTATCAGCAGCAAAGCAGGGACAGGATTGACTTGGTTTTCCGCACCTCCAAAGCCAGGCGCATCACACCACCACCTGATTCACTTCTGGATGTGAATTTTAGGAAACTGGTGCCTTGGGTGGAGGTCAGTCTGCAGGAATCCTGAGGATCATCTCTCATCTGTTCTGTTCTGTCTTGATGAAGAGGAGGTTGCCATTTTTGTGTTTAAGAGCAAAGTCCCTAGTAGGAAAGCCTGGGAAACATTTCCATAGGGACACTTACAGGCAGGCTGTGTTCACAGCAGCAGAGGCAGGTGCAAGCATATTGCATCACACAAGTTTTCCAGTCAAAAAAATGAGCCTGTCTCTGAAAAAAGTCTTATCAAAAGGCTATTTGTGGAAGTTGTCTTCATGATTTAGTTTTTTTAATTGTGCATTTTGAAAGTAGGGTTTGTTCTATTATATACCAGATGAGAGCAACAGAGTTTTCTAAACTGAGTGAGACTATAAATCTTTGCTCCTAATTTGCTTCTAAAACTATAATGGGAAACCTGTACTGAATGCTGTGCTAACATAGCACATAAGGAGGTTTGCTAAGTGAGGAGCCAGTGCTCCCACACATGGCGTGTCTGTGATCCATTGCATACAGCCGAGTCACAGGAACATGAGCAGACCTTCTGTTCATCCCAAACGCATACAGAAGAGGGGAAAAGAGCAGGTGTCCCTTAAGGATAAAAGGAGGAATCCGACGCTAAGTGACACTAACATAATGTTCATTCTGGAGACATGTCAAAATTGCCAGCGAGAATATAAGACAAATAAACACAGGAAGCCAGAGCTCATTATGAAAAATATGGCTAGCAATTCAAATAATTATTCTGCTAGAGAAGCCAAAATAATGTAATCGCATTGATCGGGGATGTAGTTAGTAGGAATACTTTAAAGAGTATCATGAGGCAATTTAGAGCCAAAGCCACATTTTCCTTCTAGATGAATGTCATGCAACACTTTTGGTGTGGGGGTGCCTTCATGGAACAAACCCACTGAGCCAAGCTCCCTTTAACCAGCGTTCCTATGGGATATACATGTAAATTTATCATCTGGCCTTTCTCTCTTCTCTGCGCATAGAGGTTGGAGAGCCACAGCACACTGTTTCAAGTCTCATTAACTTTCTCTTCCTCATACCTCAACCTCTGCAAAATTAGGTGACCAGCAGTGTTTTGTCACAGAGTTTGGGATCCCTAGTAAGTATGTTGTAATCTCTGACTTTTGGAAAAGGTAATGAATGTCCTGAAACTCTGATGGGATCCCAGAATTTTTTTTTCCTTTATCCATAGATAAATAATATTTACTTATTTAATTTTATTTTATATTTTATTTTATCTGGTAGATAAGCTTTCCTTTGCTTGTTCTGCAATATACTTTACCTTATGCCACTCCCTCCTTTTTTCCTCCTTGTGTCCTTTTTTCTTTTTTCTTTTTTTTTGCCACCCGGTGGAATTTTATTTCCTTCCTTCATCTAGTGCTGCCTTCTGGACTGACTGTTCTACCCCCTCCTTTTTTTTTTTCCCTAACTCTCTCCTCCTTAAGCTCATTGGATGAGTTTCCAGCTTTGCATACCCATACACTTACCTTTTCCTTCTCCCCCAAAACAGAAGGGCACCTGATTGAGGAGTGCATCTATTCCTCAGACAGAGGGGAATGTCCCTGCTCAGCCTTTAACTGCTTGTGCTGCCCTTACAGTGGAACAGTGAGGTGATAAAACAGAAAGCCCTAGCAATACTCTTCCAACTATTGTATCCTGCTTCTACCCTAGTATTGAAGAAAGCAATCTGAGTTGCCTGCGGGAATACATTTGGGGAATAAGGAGCTCTGTGTGTCTTGCCTGATGCTAAAACTGGGGACAAGCACTGAGATTTCCAAAAAGCAGAGCAGTAGTTCTCCTGGCAGATGTACGCTGTTGGGCAGGGAGAGGTGCCATTCAGCAGGCAAGTGGGTGAAGCCAGGACCTCCTTTCATTTCCGCTAACAGTGGGTCCAAGCCCAGGCTCTCCCTGATGTCCAACATCCATGCATTCATTTGTAGACTCAGTTTGTTCACCCTGATGGAAACTGGCACTTCTCCCACTCTCCTGCCCTTTATTTGCTCTTTTATTGGGTCTATTGGCTGACCTCAGTTCTTTCTTTTTTTAATTTTTCTTTTAGTACATTCAACTGGACTGTCCCATTCCTTAGCTGGCTGGCGATTGTTGCCCTCTCTGTGTTCACTGTCATCCTGTATTTCATTCCCCTGAGATACATTGTTCTTGTCTGGGGTAAGTAAAGCCTTTTTAAACTGTCTGTACCACTTAAAACTCCCTGCTTCGTAAGGGATGACTTACATTGTCAGTACTTTTTGGTATTTATGGTCATGAAGCTGCCCCATGATGGAAACAAGCAGGTTAGTTAAAAATCACAACTCTGTAAAGATGGAGGCCCATCTGCAAAATGCATTTTTCTTGGCTGGCATTGTAGACTTAATCATACTATGAACATATAGCCATGAGGATTCTTCATATATCAAAATGTAGTTTTGTCTAGATATTACTCTGATTTATTTTTGCTACTTATACACAAACAGGGGCATTTCAATCTATATAGTGCATTTAGGACAATATGCCTTTTTTACTGCAGTACTTCATCTTGTGAAAGTGTATGTAAACATAGCAACAACAAACCTATTTAAGGGGTCACCTTTGGTTGGACAGAAAGGAATGGCTGGTATTTGGCTGGTTGATAAGGAACAGAAAGTATGGGTGGGTAGGGGGGTGGAATTATGATTGATCCAGGCTCTCACTACAATATCAATTGTCCCTATATCAATTCTTTTTACTGATTTACTGCCATTACCCCATCTGTTGTAAATAATGCTCCTGATTTTCATTTGTACATCTTTTCAATACATCTTATACCACTGGCAGCTGTACCCTTACTCAGTACCACAGATTTGTGGTAGTTCAGATAGTCTCAGTTAAATCTGTGGCTAGATTTTCTTTCTGAAGAAAGAATAACAATCCCACTTTTGTAAAAAACTTTTGAATTCACGAGACAACATAAAATCATCGAGCCGACTCTAAAGAATTAATTTTTTATTGATCAGTCAGTATTAGTAATTTCTTAGTGTGTTTTCACAAATAATCATAGCAGAATATTTAAAATGGAACAGAAGCAATAAAGAGGATATGAACGAAAGTATTTCTACAGAACTAACACGAACAAGCATGTGGGCTTCCTTTCTTTTCCTGTCTTTGGAGTTTTACTTCTCCCACACATACCCTATATCACTTAGGTGTAACCCAAACTCTTAGTTTGTTCCCAAAATTTCATTCTTCCTAGCACATACATGTGAACTTTGAAGTAGTTGGTCTGTGTCCTTTTTCTGTCGTTTTTCAGACAGTTCTGACATCTTGCTTTCTTACATCCCCTTTGTTTAATGCAAGAACGTGAGATTACAATACTCCTCCAAGACCCACAAAACTATAGAGTGAGAACTGTTCTTTGAAAAGCTCATGACCGATATCCCAGGAAGGGTTACACTCCCAAAGAAATGTCTCTGTTTCAGGTAAAGTAGAGCCTTAACTCCCAAGCCTCCCAAACCATGGATGGATAGCATAAGCACAAATTATTATAAATGCACCTTGCATTCTTTCCATCTCTTTCCTCCTTGCCCCCAAGTTATATAGTGTGCCTACATATGAATTCAAGGCCATTTATTCACTAGAGATTTCAACTCTACGTTTTTCTCCTGCATTTCGGTTTAGGTGCCTCCTTACTCAGCAAGTGTGTGTGGATCCCTTCTTTAGGGATCTGTTTCTCTTGTGTCATGCCAGGAGACCAGCCGAGTACTGCATAGCTACAGCTCCCACAGTCCCAACCTTTTCTGGGTGAAATGCATTCGCACAGAGCCATGTTTTGCTGAGCGTAGCTCTGTGCATCTGTCCCTTCAAAAACTGCAGTATTCCAAACACGTACCTGTTTCCTCTATCATAATGTGTTTCTAACCTCCCCCGTGTACGTACATTTCTTCATCCCATTCATCCATCCTGCACTCGGAAGCCTTGGAAGCCTCTGTTTTCTGACCTTTTTGCATAGGAATGTTTGAGCTGGCCTGTAGCAGCATTTGCCCATTTTGTTCTTTGGGAAAGCAGAGGTTTTAAATGAAAATTCCTCCATGTTATGGCACATCCTTTCTATAGCTGTCTTTCTTCTTTGCATCCATAGGGACTGCCTCTGTCACCATGCCCTGGTAAGAGATTCTCCGTGCTTTCCCTCTAGCCATCTCTCTCTCCAGGAGACTACTGGCCCTTGAAGATGTAGTGTGTTAAGTGGGGTGGAATGGGAATCACCTCTCCATCCTAATCCCATTCAGTGATGTGCAGAGTCCTGTTAACAGCTACAGCTGTTTATGTGAAAAAAGTATAAAGATAATTATTTTATTCTGAAAATTCTCAAGCTTTTGGAAAAGATCAATCCCCTTGTTGTATTCTGCTTCCCTTGTAGTTTCTCATCTCTTCTGTGCAGTGCTTTTCCTTTCTCAAGCCTTGACCATGATTTATTCATGCATTTGCTTTTACGGGATGACTGGTATTTTTCTTTATCAGATGTGACAAAGTGAAACCATATTAGCAGCTGAATTCAGCCATAGGTGGTCCAGTGGCCACATGCAATGAACGGTAGAGTTGACCTTGAATTTCTCAGTCACTTGCTATGCAAAGCATCTTCTTAAAGATGTTGACCCTCAGATATTCCTTCTGAACACTCACTGTTCAATCACCAGATAAAGGAATGGCAGCATCTCCTATCTACATCATAGAACTGAGAATTCATGCAGTGGAAAGCTGTGGGTTTTATCAAGCTTATGAAGCTTACATGCCCCATCCCAAGGCCATAAGTCCTTGCTAAAGCTTTCTGAAAGGTACATTTTTAATGCTGTCCTGGATATCTTCTGCTCCTGAAACTCTATGTAGTTTGTACTGTTCCTGCTCCTGTTTTAGACATGTGTTCCCAGAGGCCACAAACTGGGTTCTCAAAAAGTGTATGAGTCTGACTCGGTATGTTATGATAAGAAAATAAGTCTAATTTAAAAGCCTTCTTTCTGCTTAGCTTCTGCTTCTTTCTGCTTAGCTCTGCCTTCAGCTCATCTGTGTCTGTCATTCGAGACAGAGGTTTGTGCAAACTCCTCTGAAACCTTCACATGATGCAGACTTCACTGCTTCTCATATGCTTCATTGTCCTTACCATGAAGAAGATTTTCCTTGAATCTCCAGAATCTTTCGTGAATGTTCTGACCTGCAATTAAGCCCATTTCTGCTCATCCTCTCCAGTACAGAAATGAAGTACTCTTTATTCCTCTTTTTTTTCCAACCTCCTCATAATAATCACAGTTTCTGTTACTTTCCAAAAAAATGTATTTGAAGGAATTTGAAAATGCCTTTCAAACTTTTGCATTTTGAAACAGAGGGAACCACAGCAGCAGATTTCAACATTTGGAGCCTGCATTTGCAGTTCATTCATTCATTCATTCATTAGTTCATTCATTCATTCGTTCATTCATTCATTCATTCAGTGTTAATGTCAGACTTCAGAATGGATCCAAAATCTTATATAAAACTTTGCCAAAAATACTTGGATTTTTTAAAATGATCATAGTAGCATTTGAACTTTCACTTTTGCAGGCATCAATAAATTTACAAAGAAGATTCGAAATCCATATGCAGTTGATAACAACGAGCTACTCGACTTTTTATCCAGAGTTCCTTCAGATGTTCAAGTGGTGTGTATATATTTTTTAAGAGTTCTTTCTGGTTTTGTTTTTTTTTTTAAATGAATTTTTAAACCAGTTATTTTGATTCAACATTATACTGTCTGCTACAAAGAAATTGCAAACTCAAGCTGGGGATAGTCCACGAACCATTAGGAGGCTGCTAGACCTTTTTCCAGGAAGAAAGTAGGTACTACCTTGGTTGTGCCTCTGAGGATCCTTAGAACAGTAAGTATTTGTTAGATGGTAGCAGATGCTAGAGCTTGTATTAAACAGCCTCCAGCATCATGTGAATCTGACTGGGATAAGACACTATGTAGGAAACACTGGAGCTGAGGCTGTCAGGATATGCAGAGAAGGAATAGCAAGGTCAAATGATGGAAGAGGCAGCACCAGGCAGTGTTGCCCAGTGTCTTGTGACAGCACTCTGCGAGCACTTTGGCCTTTCCTTTTCTGGGGTGAAGGCTTTTGCTGTGGCCACAGTTCAGTTGTGCTCATAAACTCCTTAAAAAAAAAAGCTGGTTGTGAATTACAAGCTTTTGTGATGCAGTACACAATCTCCTGAGAGGATGCAAGCTTTAAGATAACATCAGGCACATAAATCACCTCTGGTATCACAAAGATTATAGACTTCACATATTTCTGGTTTCAATTCAGAGCTGGTATAAGTAGGAGGTATGGGTACACATACCTTCTCTGAATCTGATACCCTCTGTGGCAAGCATTTGGAAATAAGCGAGTTTTTAAGAAATATTACAAAGAATATTCATCCAGTTCAACCAAGAGGATACTGTTTATTGTCTGTAAGAGCTCATAGAGAAAGCAAAAAAAAGAGTAACCTTTTCAAAGCTTACATCAGTGCACAGTGTTATTTCCTGGCAGGATTTTCCTAATGTTGATTTTCCTTCTTACTCTAGATTTGCAATTCTGTTGTTGTTGAATCACATCTGCAAATCCTGTATAGTTTTTAGGGAGAAAGTTTTCTTCATCTTTTTTAACCCTGGGGGAAAAGAAAAGGTGTCTTCCCTTTTTTCTAGGAAGCACCATGTGAACTCTTTCTTTCTGAACTTTGTGTTTAAACAGATGCAATACCATGAACTGAAACAAGATCCCAGTCACAGCCCGAGCAAGAGGAAGAAAAACAACCCTGCCTAGCCAACTTCATGTGTTGAGGAGACTAGCATCCGCCAGGGGAGAATGAAAGAGCAAGCCTAGGCAGCGTTTCCTTTCCCTAAGCTTTTTATTTATTTTGCCTTTTTATCTAGTGAGGAGATTTTGTAAATAGTGTAAAAAGGTGTTTCTCATTGAATATCTCTTTCTCACTGTAAAGACATTTGTTTTAAGTAGGGTTTTTGCCATTTGAAAGCCTCGTTAGAAACAGCCTAATGCATTAAAGGAGTCAATCTAATGTGGTAAATATGCACTGCTACTTGGTAGTCAAAGATACATGAAATACTCAAATCATGCTAACTAAACCTACAAAAGGTGTGAATTTAAATCTTACTCAAAAATTTGTCAGTATCATCCAGTAAGTCACCGTTACAATGGTGACATTACTATGTTTTATACATTTACTGAGAAATACAATGTGGTTGAGCCTACTGCACTTAAGTTTTAGCAGATTTTTTGGTTCTCAGACCTTGATGTTAACTTCTGGTGCAACATTTTCCTGTGCAGGTGGGCTGCTTATAAGATAATGAGAAACACCAAGTGCAAATCTTTCTGGAGCTCCCAAAAGTAGTTCCTGATGTCTTTATCATTCCATTGTAAGATCTAAAAATCTCCATCTCTCTCAAAATACTGCCAGGTTTGTAACTGATTGCCTGTCTGATTTTTCTGTATGTACCAGTAGTCTTCATTTGTACTACATAGGTTAGTGAATAAAGTTCATAGTTTTACTGTAATGGAAATAGTATAAAACTAACTCCATATTGCTTTCGATGTCATGCTACGAACACTTTTTGTGCACATAACTATTTTAATATGGAAATCTTGCAGAAAATGTTTTTCTTTCAAATCACAAGATCATATTAATATGCTTTACCAAGCTGAAATATAGTGTAGAGGAGAAAAATGCAGTTGTGGTAAAATTGTTTTATTTTCTTAGCTGTTAATGTCAGTTCTTCTGATACAATCTTTATCTACTGCATGGAAACTGCATTATCTTATAAATTACATGGAACATAGATGAGAAACGTTTACATTTCAAATGTTTTAGTGGCCACTGCATAATGAGTACTTGGGGATATATTCTGGTAGCTGCATGCAGACTACGTAGTGAGCAGAGACTCATTCCTGAGGGACTACCTGTACACAGCTCCTCATCGTAGCTCCCGGTGACATTAAAGGGGATTTTTGCCCAGGGGAGAGCGGCAGGACTGCATCCTCGAGGAGAGCTGTGGTCCTCTCTGGATTACCTCTCATTGGTTGCAATTGCAGATAAAGTTATATTGCACTACTCTAACAATACTTTTTGAAAAGACTATTTAAAAATACTTTGCAAGCACATGTTTATATATATTTGTCTAAAGAATTATATGTTAGCTGCACTGCTCATGAAAGATTGTCCTGGATTTGTTTGTTTTGCAGATAAGATGATAGCCAAGTTCTGATGTGACAGTAATTTTGTTCTTTCTGTTTGTATATTTGAAAGAATGCCAATCAAATGACTGTTCTGCAGAAAGTCTTGTCCTTGTTACATCATGACTTTAAAAGAGTTCTGGCTGTGTGATGCCTGAAGACCAACATACTATTGATGAAATGAGAATCACTGATTAGCTTATTTTGTTTTAAAAAAGCCAAATTTTTGACTCAGCAATTATGTGAATGTTTGTTGCCTGTTGTCAGTTTCACGCAGTTCTTTAATACACTGCAAGCCTTGTACCTTCTTAATGTTGCCCACCAGGCTGTGTGTGATTTCCTGTTGTCTTTTTTTTCTTTACCCAATTTCAAATGTCTACTTCGATGGTTATGTATGAGTTAGCTATGCACATTTCTTGCATTAAACACACCTTTAACATCACTCTTTTCTATTATGAAGTCTCTGTCTTTGAAATCCTATGCTATCATTTTTCCTTGAGTGGTGTGACGTGCAAGTGTCAAGGAAAGCATCATATTTCTGCGTGCAGCATTTCAGTATTTTAAGCTCCATAACGTGCAGGTGGAGGGGGCAGGGAGAGAAAGACATCTGTTTGTTGAAGATTGGTCAATTCCTTTTAAATGCCTCAGTCACTTGAAATTGATCTCACTGAAAATATAACTCACAGAGGCAAGGCTAAGAATGCATGTGTATTAAATACAATTCTCCTGCCACAGCAAGACAATTTAAAATCACAATTTAAAATAGTTTGTGAGTGAATCCGTTTTCACTATTTGTAGTTTCTCTACTCTGCTTTTTGTGGGTGGCCTCTGTAGCAAACCAGTCCCACTTTATGCCATAAATATTTTAACATACCTTCCTTTTCCAGAGTGGTTCTGAAGTCCATTTCTAACCTGTTAGATTTATCAGGCTTTATTCTGAGAGCAACTTGTCTGTTCTAAACAATCATGAAATAATAAGGCATCACACAATCATGAAACTCTTTCAGAAAATAAAATTTAATGACTTTATTTGGGTCCATTGAAAATTATTAGCTTAATTGGGGTCCACACTTATAGTAGGTGTCAGAGCATTTAGGATCCACCAAGGCTGATTGTCTGAGAGGCTTTAGTTACAGTTCTGCTGGTAATTCATAGTACAGAGGTTACTTACCCTGTTTTTACAGTTGTTTCTCATTGTAGTGAGGAATGCCCAATAGCAATGAGCTTTAACTGGGAGAGCTGTGTACTGTAACTTAGTATTTTAAATCCAAGTACAATAACCCCCAAGATGTTTTTCTATTGCAATTAAACCAGTGGTGGAATAATGAAAAAGCGATTGAGCAACCTGCATACAGTCTATCAGCTAATGTGGTCCCTGAGAGCATAAGCTCTGTTGACAGGAGGAAGAGCTGCTGGCCCCTCCTGCCTTTTCTCCACCTTGGCCTGCATTCTCTAGGTGACCAAACTTGTCTTCTCCGTTTCCTGGTCACCACTATACTATCAATTAAACCTTAATTGGAAACTGTTTGCTTTGTCATCCTCTCCTGCTTTTTCTCCCTACTTTTATTTTTTATGGACTTCTTTTCCTTATCTACATTCTGTGACTAATTCACCTTCTTATAGATGTAACTCCTTGACAGTTTGGTCACAAAGCTTCAGCTGCTGGTTTCGTGTCAGCACTTCAGTTTCCCTCATGTACCTCCCACCTCTGCAGTTTCAGTGTTTGATTTCTCACTGCTGCATTCAGGAGTCATCCATGCCTGTCTTCCATCAGCTCTGCTTTTCTTGGACCTGCAGTGAATCCCATCCAGACCAACCTCATCATGGTACTCCACGTACAGACTTTGTTGGATCCTCACTCCCTGATGGTGATATATTTTGAAGTTGTTCCCTGTGATAGTGCAGAAAAGAAGAGTAAAGAAACTGAAATCTAATTTTAGCGGAAGGAAATATCTTCTGGAAGTTGTATAACTGTTTCTGCAATATACATGGATCTTGCTGTTGGCTACTGGCTTCTGAAATATCTGAGCTTATAGTTTTCCTCTGCTCCAGTTGAAGGATTTGGACCTCTGTGTGATTTGCATCAAATCATAAAGGGCATTTGATCTGGGGGGGAACCAATTAACATAAAGGCATACCAAAACATAAAACCTATAGTTTATTAAGTTTGTGTTTAAAATTGGCAAAAGTAACAAGCATGGGTTGCTTGGGACCCAGGGGGATTACTCTAATGAATTCTCCATCATAGAAAATGATTGCACAGTTTTCACTGTGCAATTTACTGTTCTTTGTAAAATTCTATGCTTCATAATTAAATACAGCACTATGATTTTTGCAGTTTGGCTTTCTTCTCTACAGAATAATGTGTAGGCTGCACTCTGAGCAGACATTTTCACAACAAAGAGTGGCATTTGAAAAAGAAATTAATTTTTGAAGTAGTTGACAATTGACATCACTTGGTGAAAATGCCAAATGTCAGGAAGTTTAAAGCCAGGGTTTGTGTTTATCTTTTGATTTAAGTTGTGATAAAGCGAGGGAGAGTCACAAACATTTGCAGATGGAGAGAGTGTGCTGTCCTGGAGCCACCAACACTGCGCATTGCTGACAGTAACTGAGACAATCATGCTTGTAACAGAGGAGACATGAGATACACTTTCTGTGAAGAGCTTTATAGAACAGCTGCCCAGCCTCAAGCAGGTGCATTAGTTCATCATTTTTGTGAGTGCTAATTTAAATGACCAGTGTACAATAGAAAAATGAATAATGGTGCAAGGGAAGGAGGGAGTTTCTTGGGTTTTCTCCATCTCAACCTGAATGTTAAAACCCTCTTTCTGGTCTCAGTACATGGTTGAGGAAATGTGACATCACTGCAGCTAATTGAGAAGTCCTGAGCTTTTAGAAACCCTAGTTCCTATACTGAGAGTTGAGTCCATTTGTACAGAGTATGCTTCTAGGGCTAATGCTAGACAGTAGCCATTCCCCTTAAATCATGCATGCATGCAACAGGACAAATCCATGTATCTCAAATTCTGTAATCTCCTCAAACATGTAAAATCCGATGTTATTTTCAAATAATGTGTTTTAAATCTGATTTCTCAGTCCCTACATTGGGAATGAAGTGCAGTTGACAACTTCTCTCTTAATTTCTGCCCTGTTCAGCCTGCTGCCAAAGGCAGAGGTTCAACCACAGAATGGAGAACTACAGGCATCAACTATGTGTGGGCTCCGTATAATAGGCTGCTATTATATGAGAAAATAAATTTTTATTCTTAACCCAGAACCAGAGGACACAAATCAGGTGGACAAGTAGTTATGTAAGGCCTGTGATGCTAAAATGGAGAGACTTTGATGCATGGGCTATTTGATGGATAAGGAATTGGCTGGACTGCTGCATCCAAAGTGTTGCAGTCAACAAACAGCTCAGTGTTGAAATGGAGATCAGTAATAAGTGGTGTGATTTAAGGGTCTGTCCTGGGACCGATACTTTTTAATATTGACATCAATGACATAGTGGGATCAAGTGTACTCTCAGTATAGCGAATGACACCAAGCTGAGTCATGCAGTTGATTTGCTGTAGAGAAGGGATGTATATAATAATGGCCAGTCTTCGCGAACGAAGATCTGGGAAAAGGTCTTTTTTACCTTTCCAGCCTGCGCAATGGATTTTTTAGGTGAGACACAGCCTGCGCTGAACTGAGCCCACCCTTTAATCCTAAGGTTCATCTGCCGGGGCCAAGCAAGCTTGGACAATGGCAGTGAGGTCCTCAGGACGTGGGTTTGTTTAGAGTGACCTTCTCATAGATGGATGGCCTCACAGGGCTAACGGGCTCCATCTGCCCGGGGGACTGGGATTCGAACCTGGGTCGCAGCGGTGAGAGTCCTGCATGCTAACCACTAGGCCACCAGGGGTCCCGAGGGATGTATATCAGGTCTTCAAAAAAAAAAATGAAGTGTCTTTTGACTGATGGAAGAAGGAGAAGGCTTGAAAACTTGCATGGTTTATGTTCAGAGTAGAACTGAAAGCATCCTACCACCCAAACCCACACCTAAAGCATTACAAGGAGTCAGGAGAACAAGCAGGTGTCATCAAAGCTTCCATACTTTGCACTCATCAAAGGAAACAGATGGGAAAGCCAATATTGTGTTGTAGCTTTTCTAAAATGAAGACCGTGTTTCCATAAGGACTGATAAAATACCTTCAATTTCTCATAAACTGTAAAAGCGTTTTGGGGTCATCTTCCTACATGAGAAAAAAGTTTTACTCTGCTAATAGAGGCAGTAGCTGAGAGGGATGTTGCTAAAGTCTTGAACACTCCACAAGAGTTGACCTCTACCTGCAGGATGCAGAGGTCAGCTTCAGTAAGCCTGCTGGAGGGCAGGTGCAGACATGCAGAGCTGTGATGGTGACAACCACAACTCAGATGACATGAAGCTGAGCCAGCTGCAGCTCCTTAATTTCAGTGTAGTGAGCATGGCACTTGCCCTAGACAGGAGCCTGCGGTTTCACTTTCTGTTTAGTCTGAGTGGACCCAAACCCCTGACACATAGTTTTAATTTAAGAGGATGCTGTGGTAGACATGAGGCTATTCAGATGAAAGGAAAGGGATAGCTACTCTAATTAATTAGAGTATCGATCCTCTTGGAGCTGGAGCTCAGTGCAGAAGAGGATTCAGGACTGACACACAAGATACAGAAGAGGCAGTGGGCAACAGAAAAAATTAGAAATAAAACTAGCAAAAATGTATGCAATTTTCAGGAAGGCATCATAGAAACAAGTGTCCATGTGCTCCCCTACAGGAGAAAAGAAAACAAATGCCTTCTTGCCCCTTTGAAGATACCCTGGCCTGTAGAAGTTTCTGGGGAAGGGTACAGTTTTGAAAGATAAGCACCATTCTCATCCTGCTTTGTAGGGACCTATCTCCTCCTGAGTCACTAGGCAGAAGCCTAGAGGGGACCTGACAGTTTTTCCTTGGATCTGACACTTGCTAGCAACTCATGTTATTCATCTGTTATTTACAAGCCTTTACTTCACAATAATGAACAGGGTAAAAAACCAAAAATTTGTTCCTAAATTTTTAAAAGGGAAATATTTGAAACAGAACCTACTTGCCTATTTGTAGTCTGTCATTCAAAGTAAGTGTTTTTGCTCTTTCCCTTCGGACAGACCATGATGGCCCCTTTTAGCAGACCCACCAAGTTTTGTTTTATTGATGACTAGCAGTCACTATAGGTAAATGAAATAATACCATATGAAAGCTTTGTGTCCTAAACCTGATACTGCTGTGGCACAACATGCATGTGAAAGGATTTTTTTGGATTTGTGGAGAAACAAGACAAAAACCACCCTGTCCTGGCTGAAACCAGGACAGGGTTAATTTTTGCAGTAGCCAGGAGGGGGTGTTGCTAGGACACAGAGCCACCTCATGTCCCACCTCTGGGGGCAGGGGAAAGGGACTCTTCCAGGGAGCAGGGGTTCCTTACCATCAAAAAAATGTGGTGGAGGGAGCTGTCTGGTATTGTCTATTATCAGGATGAGTTCCATGTGAATAATTTTTTTTTGTACCCTCTGTCATTGCTAGTGTTGCTGCTACTGTACATTTTTTCTTATCTCCTTGCTGTTTCCAGTAAATTGTTCTTATCTCAGCCTGTAATCTTTGCCTTTTGTGCCTCCAATCCTGCTCTCCATTACACCACAGAGGGGAAAGGGAGAGGGGAAGGTGAGGGAATGAGAGAGTGGCATATGGTTTGGAGAGTCTGGGTGGGGGCACTGAACTGGGGAGTGTCATTCCTAAACCACGACAGTCTTATTTGGAGCCCAGTGTGGCACATGAAGAGTTGAGATAACAATAGATCTGACCACAGCAGGTTGGAACAAATTTGATCTAAGCATTTGTTGTATTAGGTATGGACCCACTGGTCACAATGTTGCTTGATCTGTTCACATGGGTGTGGCACCTAACCTTGTATAGATGCCCATATTTGCTCCTCCCGGTGCTCTCTTGCAGAGCAGGCGGAGGGGTCAGGATTGTCTTGTTGCTCTGTGGTGGGATATCAATTGTTTATGACATGATAACATAAAGGGCAATGAGGCTCACTTGAGATGTGTGTTCAGTGTTGCTCTCCTACCCTTCCCTCGAGCATTACCTTTGAGAATAAATTAAGTCTGTAGGGGAAACAGGGGAGAATGATTTTCTCTAGCTCTTCACCTTCTTTTCCGCTTCAGGATCGTTAATACAGCTTTCAAGAATTTTGAATTTCCCTTTGGATGTTAAGGAAAGCATGTTCTTGTTGCTAGGTCTGCCACGTCTCTTCAGTGCTGTCCACACCATGTTTAAGAGTTACAAAAGACATTTTTAGGAAGGCCTTTCAGAGATTTGCCCTGAGGTGGATAGTCACGAGTGGCATGGAAGGTGGGAGGATATGGGCCAGTATTTGGAGGACTTCCCTCCTCCAGTAGTTTGGAAATTCACCCCTGAACAACTACAGGTCACTGTTAAAGTGCTAAAATACGTGAAAGAAAAATGCTGTAGCAGCTC